GCAAGAGAAGAGAGGATAGTCTTCTCTTTTAATCCATACTATTCAATTCACCAACAAACCCTCAAAGAACAAAAATATAGATGATTTGGATTTCATTTTAAATACTTTTTCAAATTCAGTGCAGAGGGGTAAATAATAGGTGCACAAAGGTAAAAGCAGTTGCAGGATATTCTGCAGATAACAGACTTTGCGATTTGTGGAGGAAACTAGGTGAAAATAACAAGGTTCAATACTTTAAGAAAATAACAACAAATAATTTGTAAGAAACCTAAATGCATCCATCAGGTCTCAACTCATTAGTGCTTTAAAAAAAAAAAAGGAGAGACCACACTCCCAGTATGAGATTTATGATAATGGAAGAAGCTCAAATATTTAATACAGCATCAAGTTTGTTTTTTATAATAGTAAAAATGGAGCCCTGGTGGTGTAGTGGTTAACAGCTTGGCTGCTAACCAAAAGGTCAGCAGTTCGAAACCACCAACATAAAAATAGAATGTCCAGCTTTCTTTGTGGAGGGGAAGCAGGATCAATGCAGCCTACATTGCATTCTCATGCACAGCTGCACTCCTGGCAGACTGTCCTGGATGTGCAATCTGACTGCAGAATAGCCCCCCGCTTGGGCTGCTGCTGACCTTGGAGGCCGCCCTTCTGTCCTGAGGGGAGTCCAGCCTTATTGAGGCTGGAACTCTTAGCTAAAAACCAACTTGGATGGAAGAGATAAGGAGAAAACCCACTCTCCCAGGTGAAAAAAGATCACATGATTTAGCAGACACAGGAGAAAACATATTAGAATGTACTATTTAAAGAGGAGAAAGAGGACAAGAAATTGCTGAATCAAGGATGGTTCAGGATCAGAGATCCCAGGAAGCAGTAAAACACATTGGTAAGACTGGGCTGGTTTTTAGCAATATTAAATGTACATTCACAACTCACATTGGGATGCTGAGCTTCAGCAAACCTCCTACCCTCCTTTGTCGGCTTTCCTTGCCAAATTCATGCTAGATCACGCGGCTTTGGTGAATCTGAGGCTGAGACATTTAGCTATTAGTTTGGAGCAGTGTTGAATAAATTACCTAGGTCCCGAAAAGAAGGCCTTATATGCAACTGAGAGTATTTTCTATTACTATCTGTCATGCAGTTCTGAAGCCTGAATTAAAGTTCAGACCAAACTCAGCCAAAAATTATTTGATTTCCCAATTTATTTTTTGCTCTGCAGACCTGGTCTATTTGCCCCATTTCTCACACTGCTAAAACTGTAATCCTTTACTTCCAGGAAGCAAAATAAATAGTTGCATTAAACAGAGTGCTTAAGCTAAACCAGCCTATTCCTATATAGTAAGCTCTGGCCAGCCAGAATCTTCTGAGGCACAGATGCCATAGTCAGGATTGGTGGGAGAATATAAAAACTGTACACTTGGTTTTTCACCTTCTAACGGTCCAGACCCCAAAAACTGCATCCACATATGGAGATTCTATTTGCCTGAAATGATTATTTGAAGTCATAACTGATCACAACTTTCTGTGCACACAGTAGGCACTTAAAATATAGCATCCCTTGTAAAAATATAGAGGACTTGCACATTACAAAGCTCTTTTATGTCCATTTTATCATTAAACTCTCATGACAACCCTGTGAGGTGGACAAGGTGAATATTATGAAGACAGTGGCCCAGGGAGTTGGCAGAGTAAGGTTTTGAGATATCCAACACAGGACTCTTTACACTACTAATCGTTTTCCTTTTGATAATGTGTTTTCCTAACATAGTTATAAATCACAAACTTATACTTCTTGTATCAAAATTATCAAGACTAGATAAAATACATAGGAATAAACCTAACTAGGGACGTAAAAGACTTATACAAAGACACCTACAAAATGCTACTCCAAGAAACCAAAAGAGACCTTCAAAAATGGAAAAACATACCATGCTGATGAATAGGAAGACTTAACATTGTGAAAATGTCAGTACTACCCAAAGCGATCTATAGATACAACGCAATCTCGATCCAAATTCCAACAACATTCTTTAACGAGATGGAAGAACTAATCACCAACTTTATATGGAAAGGAAAGTACTCCTGGATAAGTAAAGCATTACTGAAAAAAAAAGAACAAAGCAGGAGACCTCATACTTCCCAAACTCAGAAACTACTATACAGCCATGGTAGTCAAAATAGCCTGGTACTGGTACAACAACAGACACATAGACCAATTGAACAGAATTGAGAACCCAGAAGTAAATACATCCAGCTATGGACAGCTGATCTTTTACAAAGGGTCAAAATCTGTTAATTGGGGAAGAGATAGTCTCTTCAACAAATGGTGCTAGAAAAGCTGGATATCCACTTGCAGAAAAATGAAACACAATCCATACCTCACACCATACACAAAAGCCAACTCAAAATGGATCAAAGACCTTAATGTAAAACATAAAACTATAAAGATCATGAGAGAAAACAGAGGGACAACGCTAGGGACCCTAATCTATGGCATAAAAGGATATCAAGTATAACTAAAAATGCACAAACTCCAGAAGATAAACTAGATAACCGAGACCTCCTAAAAATTAAACACTTATGCTCATCAAAAGACTTTGCCAAGAGAGTAAAAAGACAACCTACAGACTTGAAAAAATCTTTGCAATGACATATCTGATAAAGGTTTAATCTCTAAAATATATAGTAAACGTCAACAACTCAACAATAAAAAGACAAGCAACCCAATCACAAAATGGGCAAAGGACATAAAAAAACACTTCACCAAACAGGACATTAAGGCAGCCAACAAATACATGAAAAGGTGCTCACAATCATTAGCCATTCCAAAAAAACAACCCCATTGCTGTTGAGTCGATTCCGACTCATAGCAACCCTATAGGACACAGTAGGACTTCTCTATAGGGTTTCCATGGAGCACTGGTGGATTCAAACTGCTGACCTTTTGGTTAGCAGTTGTAGGTCTTAACCACTGTGCAACCAGGTCTCCCATTAGCCATTAGAGAGATGCAAATCAAAACTACGATGAGATACCATCTCACCCCTGCAAGAATGTCAATGATAAAAAAAAAATGCTGATGAGGTTGTGGGAAGATTAAAATTCTCATACACTGCTGGTGGGAATGTAAAATGGTACAACCACTGTGGAAAACGATATGGCGCTTCCTTAAAAAGCTGGAAATAGAAATACCATATGATCCTGCAATCTCACTCCTAGGTATATATCCTAGAGAAATAAGAGCCATCACATGAATAGACATATGCACACTCATGTTCAGTGTAGCATTATTCACAATAGCAAAAAGATGAAAACAATCTAAGTGCCCATCAACAATTGAATGGATAAACAAACTATGGTACATACACACAATGGAATACTATACAACGATAAAGAAAAATGATGAATCTGCAAAACTTCTCACAACATGGATGAATCTGGAGGGCATTATGCTGAGTGAAATAAGTCAATCACAAAAGGACAAATATTGTATGAGACCACTATTATAAAAAATCAAGAAAAGATTTACACACAGAAAGAAACAATCTTTGATGGTTACCAGGTGGAGAGGAGGGTGGAGGGAAAATCACTAACTAAATAGTAGACATGTGTTAACTTTGGTGAACAGAAAGGCAATACACAACATAGGGGAAGTCAGTACAACTTGACCAAGGCAAAGGAAGACACTAAGAGGAACGCAAAAAACAAAACAAAACAAAAAAACCCTACAACAACAGTAAGAACAAACAATAATTTTACAAGCAGATACATAGATAGGTATGCTGAATAGGGGTAGGAAGGAGTATAGGAGTACACCCATGTACACATATTGGTTTGGATGTGGATATTTTTATATACATATTTATATGTGCAGCATGTATAATCATATATATATATATATGATGGTGAAAAATATTGGATATACCACGGACTGCCAGAAAAACTAATAATTCCATCTTGGAAGAAGTACAGCCAGAGTGCTCCTTGGAAGCAAGGATGGCAAGACTTCGTCTCACATACTTTGGACATGTTATCAGGAGGGACCAGTCCCTGGAGAAGGACATCATGCTTGGTAAAGTAGAGGGTCAGCAAAAAAGAGGAAGACCCTCAATGAGATGGATTGACAAAGTGGCTGCAACAATGGGCTCAAGCATAACAACGATTGTGAGGATGGCACAGGACTGGGCAGTGTTTCGTTCGGTTGTACATAGGGTCTCTATGAGTTGGAACCGACTCACTGGCACCTGACAACAACAACAATAGAGCATACAGGGACACAGTCATAGAAGCTTCCTAGACACAATCAAACACCTCGCAGGACCAAGTTGCTGAGCTGAGGGCTAGGGACCATGGTCTCAGAGGACATCTAGGTTAATTGGCATAGCATAGTTCAAAAAGAAAATGTTCTATATCTTACTTTGGTGAGTAGCATCTGGGGTTTTAAAAGCTTGCAAGTGGCCATCTAAGATACAACTGTTGGTCTCATCCCATCCAGAGCAAAGAAAAACAAAGATACAAGGAAACGATTAGTCCAAAGGACTAATGGACCACATGAACCACAGCCTCCACTAGCCTGAGACCAGAAGAGCTAGACGGTGCTCAGCTACCACCACTGACAGCTCTGACCAGAATCACAATTAAGGGTCCCAGACAGACTGAGAGAAAATGTAAAAACAAAATTCAATTTCACAGAAAAGACCAGACTTACTGATCTGACAGAGAGACTGTCTTGGGGGAACCCCCAACACTATGGCCCCTAGACATCCTTCTAACTCAGAACTAAAGCCACTCCCGAAGTTCACCTTTCAGCCAAAGATTAGACAGGGCTATAAAACAAACAGTAACACCTGTGAGGAAAGTGCTCCTTAGAAAAATCAAGTATACAAGACCAAATGGACAACACCTGCCCAAAAGCAAAGATAAGCCGGCAGGAAGGGACAGGAAAACCAGATGAATGGAAACGGGGAAACTGGGATGGAAAGGGGGAGAGTGCTGACACATTGTGGGGATTGTAATCAATGTCACAAAACAATCTGTGTATAAAGTATTGAGTGGGAAACAAATTGTTCTGTAAACTTTCACCTAAAGCATAATAAAATGTTCAAAAAAATTATCAAGATTTGTTCTCTACAGAAATTGAAACAATCTGAATATCAACTTGATTAAAATCTTAGCATGCTAAAGAAAGTTAAAGAAATAAGTTGTCGGTGGAAGAGCTCCAATTTAGCATAGACCAAGAAATGGCTCTATTTGTTATTTGTTTCTCAAGAGAAACAAATTCTTAAGTGAATGCTATTATCTTAATAGTGTAGTCAATTACTTAAAGAAGCACAGAAGAAGAGATACTGTCAAACCCTCTCTTTTCTTCAGTTATCAGGTTACAAAGGGAAAAACTACAAAGTAAAAACTGATGTTTGCAATCACGGTTGGGCAAAATAAAGATGTATAACATTTGGCGGGGAGGGGGAGAGTGTGGAAGAGAAATATGTAACTACATTAATGAAACAAAATTGTATAGAGTTCTAACGATTTACAAAACTCCCTGTTCTGGAAATATAATGCAATCTCCTCATTGCTGAGAGACTCTGAATGTAGCCTCAAACCTTTCCACTACTTCCGTCAGGTTTTGTAATTGTTTGTGGCACATATAGTAAATAATATTAAAGTTATACTGATCAGTTGCTGTGGCGATCCCATGTGTGCCAGAGTAGAACTCAATAGGATTTTCAACGGCTGGTTTTTCAGTAGATTGCCAGGCCTTTCTTCCTAGGTTCCTCTGGGTAAACTCATAGGAACCTCCAACCTTTTGGTTAGAAGCTCCAACCTTTTGGTTAGCAGCTAAGCACATTAACCATTTGCACCCCCTGGGAAATCCAAAGTTATACTAGTGGTGGTGAAAATGCCCCCCAAAGCCTTTAAGAGGCAATATGCCGAAGTACTATTCAAAAATGAATGTTATTACATAGAAGGAGATAAATTGGTTAATTAAATAAGAAATGACATCTCATTTTCTACAGTAAAACTTAAGGTTTTTTTGTCCCCCCTTCTTGGGAAAACAATACCGAAGAGGATCCTGCTCCACCTATAATCCTATTCTTTTAGGAAAATGAAAACTTTCAGCATGTTTCAGAGTTAAACAAGCTTATCTTTGTTTATAATTTATTAAGGTGTTATTTCATAAAGACAACACTCAAATATGGTCTTCGCTTGGATTTGACACAAAAAAAGGGTTGGTTGCATTTTCACAATATTCAGCACAACATTATGGTCACCCAACTAGATCTTAAAAGGGTGGGTGAGCAGGAAGGAAGTTCAGTTTTTCTGTAGTTCCTAGAAATGAAACTGTGATATGATGAGAGCAATATTATCATTTCCTACTGCTGTGTTGTTGTTGTTAGTTGCCTTCGAGTCGACTTCAACTCATAGCGACCCCATGTGACAGAGTAGAACTGCTCCATAGGGTTTTCTTGGCTGTAATCTTTATAAGAGCAGACCAGGTCTTTCCCCATGGAGCAACTGAGTGGGTTTGGAAGCCAACCTTTTGGTTAGTAGCTGAGCACTTAACCATTTCCACCACCAGAGCTCCTCCCTAGTGCCTTAGGGTATAAATATCCAGGGTAAATGATGGCAGGATCAGGAAACAGAAACAGAAGGCTTCTGGTTTCCTGGTTTACTACTGTATTATCAGATTCTAGTTTAGAATACTAAATAATACACCTGGAAAGTGAAACACTGGGTTTGAATCTTAGTTATGTCCCTTAATAGCTGTGAAACTTTGGACCGCTTACCTAACATACCTCAAATGGTTGTTGAATGATAAAAAGCATGTGTTCCATAAAGCCCTGTATATTGTATGGTTACTATCTTCAGTTTCTAGGGATCAAATGAAATGAATTTGAAACCAGACGGTGAAAAGCAGATATCATCAGCCTTTCAACAAGAGACTACTTTGTAGGAAGTATTTTGCCTAAAGACTTTCTAAGAAGACACTTGACTATTCATGAAAGAACTTCTGGAACCCAATTTTGGGAGTCATCTGAAAGCTGCTATTTATGTGGATTTGCCTCAAACTGAGTATTTTCAAAAATAAACAATTGAGGCCAATTTTATATGTTTATGTCTGAGGATGTGAAAATGGAAATGGAACAATAATCTGAAAAGGTGTATGATTTTCAAAATCATTTTGTCCTAGTTTTTCTGATGAATGCAAACATACAGCCATAAAGTATGCAAAGGTAGTTCTTAACTTTCTTGGTCATGGAATTCTTTGAGAATTTGATGAATGCTAGAGATCTTCTTCCCAGGAAAAAATGAGCACATGCTCATATACACAGACACCAACACACACACAAAGACATTTCCAGACAACATAGCATTTCCCAAGTCATCCCAAAGTCCGTCTATGATCTGAGTTAGGAACCACTGAAGAATAGGTGCTTTGTTTTACATGGGGATAAATTTATATCTATTATCTACCTCATTCTGATACATGAAATTGCCAGTGCCAGAATTCAAGGAAAGTGATAGAGTTATGTTCTGAGTATTGAAGTGATAGATGCTCCTACAGTGTTCTGCAAACCACTGTTTACTTGAAGCAGTTTTACAACTTCCATGTGTTTACAGCTGAGTTGAATTTGATGTGACAACTTGGCTCAATGGGTATTGTAGTCAATTTCCAGTGGACCCTGTGTCTTATAAGGTAAGGTGATCAGCTAGGGAGCTTATCTCAATCTAAGAGTATAAAATTGAGCAATGTTCTTTCCACAAACACCAGGCCCTTTCTCTGCCTATTCCAGGGGTCACAGTATTCCATCAAAGGCAGAAACGACAGGCCTTTGTAGTGGTTACCCTGATCTTTGAGATGAGTTATTTTTACCAAGAGTATATTTATAGTTCAGTTAATAGCTTCATAGGGACTGCATATATAAAGGCATTTTTAAGAATTACTAACAATAGACAATGCACAGCTCACACTTAAAACTGAGAAAAATACTTGACAATAACACTTTCTACAGTATTTGCTAGTTTATGAATTTTACTATTCTAATCGAACTTTATGAAAGTAAAAGGAACCAGGAAAAGAGATGGTCTAAGGCCTAACGAAATGTCTAATTTCAGGGGTTAAACCACGTTATGATATGATTTCTTTAAAGGGCCCCGGGTAATGATAGAAAATATATATTCATAGGCAAATATCTCCGTGAATCAGTAAAAATCATGAATTTCCATAAGTAACTGTTTAGGACAACCAAGAGTTTCTTTTTACTTCCTTCAGCAACCTGACACTTCATCCCTCCTAAGTTTTCAGTTGGGCAATCACTTTTTAGTTTTCAATTTGTCTTTTATTTCTGAATTTAGGGGTGGAGGGCACCCATAAATGGTCATAATCTCTCCCCAATTGCAAAGGGATTGGAATTTTATTGCCGTAGACCATATTTCAGATTTGTTTTGTTGTTTATCGTAACTGAAAAACAGATCTGTTCTCTTTCCCTTTTTCCTTTGACCTCTGGTTTCACATTTATTCCCTGAAATGTTAAATTTCTATGGTCTTTAGAAGAGTGGCGTTGTCTTCATCTTTCAGGTTCTCAGACTGTGCTCTCTCAAGTCTGGTATCAAGTTGCCTTCACTTGCCTGCTCCCTTCCTCCTGGCAGCAATGTTAAGGCTCATGGCTGTGATCCCATTGAATGTGGTTTATGTGGAAACGGCCTCGGGTGGGCTCAGGCCATCTCGGGGGCCTTCTGCAGAGACACAGTGGAAGGTGGAGCATTCTAAACAAACACGCTGAAGAGCGGGAACTCAGCCTGACTGGGCTGCAGCAGATCAATCAGAAAGCACACCGTTCCGGAGAAGCCTTCATACAAGCTGTAAATACTTTCAAGGACTCGCGAGCCGGCCTTGAATTCCTCGGTAAATAAGAATTCAGCAAACCTAAGAGAAAAAGAAGAAAATATGAACAGTTTTAACATGAGTGTTTTCATATGATTAGCCTTGGGTTGCTTCTTCTGCTCTTCTGCTAAATTAAATCTTCAGCATCATTTTCTTTCCAGAATTATATAATTATTTTAAGAAAGTCATTTTCCCGTTAACAAAAGAGGATCAGTTATATAATTCTGTATGTTTCTCAACAAATTACGTTGACAAGCAAATCCAACTATTTTCAGAGTTTGCAAAGCAAAGCAAAGCAGTTGGGCATTTCTTGAAGATTTTGTTCCTTCTGTCATCCAATAATTAAAAGTAAAAATGACAGATAAATAATCATACTTTTAGTTATCTTGAATAGAAGCAAACTGGTATATAAAAAAGTAAATATGCTGTGTCTCTACGGGCATATTTCTGAGGTAGATTTCATTTATATGTGACAGAGAGCAGAGATTGAAAATAAGTGGGCAAAATTTTACAGAATCTGTGGTTTGGGGAAAACAAAGGGATAAGATGAATGGGAAAAGACAAGCAATGTTTTATAATCATGACATCAAATACTAACTCAGCTCTAAGATTGGACTCTCCACCTTAAAATAAATCACTATAGTATTAACAAACAATCTACAAATAGATACATAGGTAGACAGGTATGCTAAAGAGGTATGTGGGGTGGTATAAGGGAGCACACCCACCTGCAAATATAGGTTTGGTTGTGGATATTTCTACATACATAATTGTAGGTGCTGCATTTATATTAATATAGACAATAGAGCACACACAAGGGACACAGTCATGGAAACGTCATAGAAATAACCAAACACCTCGTGGGATGAAGTTCCTAGGCTCGAAGGCAAAGGACCATAGACTTGGAGGACATCTATATCAAATGACACAACATAGTTCGTAAAGACAATGTTCTGCATCCTACTTTGGTGAGTAGCATCTGGGGTCTTAAAAGCTTGCTAGTGGCCATCTAAGATACAACTGTGGGTCTCTTCCCATCCGGAGCAAAGGAGAGTGAAGAAAACCAAAGACTCAAGGAAGCAGTTAGTCCAAAGGACTAATGGACCACATGAACCACCGCCTACATGACCCCAAGACCAGACGAACTAGATGGTACCCGCTTAACACTACTGACTGCTCTGACTGGGATCACAGCAGAGGGTCCCGGACAGAGCGGGAGAAAAATGTAGAACAAAAAATCAAATTCACAAAAAAGACTAGACTTACTGGTCTGACAGAGACTGGAGGAACCTTTGAGACTATGGCCCTAAGACACTCTTCTGATCTGAAACTGAAGCCACTCCCAGAGACCACTTTTCAGCCAAACAATAGACAGGCCCATAAAATAAACAATAACACTCAAGAGGAACGTGTTCCTTAAAACAATCAATCTTACAAGATCTAAAGGACAATATTTGCCCAAAAGCAAAGATGAGAGGGCAGGAAGGGGTAAAAAATCCAGACAAAAGGAAATGAGAACCCAGGGCGGAAATGGGGAGAGTGCTGACGTATTGAGGGGAACGCAACCAATGTCATGGAACACTTTCTGTACAAACTATTGAATGGGAAACTAATTTGCTCTGTAAATTTTCACCTAAAGCACAATAAAAATTTTTTAAAAATTCACTGGCCTCTAAATTGTCTATGAAAAACCTTCTGTACTTTCCCTATGTTTGCCACAACTTCTACTCAGATTATTTATAATGATTAACATTTTATAGTAGTTTACAGCTTTTAAAGTGCTGTCACCTATGTCATCTCTTTACTGACTTGCTCCACATGTTCCCATCAACAACAAAAATAATCACCAATTCAGAGGCTAGAGCTCACAGCTTGGTAAGGCCTGAGAGCTGATACTGCCATAAATTTAGAGTATTGCTACTACACATGGGGTCCTATGAAGAGTAATTACTTATTTGATCTTTTTAGAGCTCTTGGAATTACTTGCAGTCCGCTTAAAATAAATCAGCAGGAAACATACAGCAATTCCGTTTGGTACAATTTTTCCATCAACTGTCTTCCAGAATATGCCACAATTTTAGAATATAAACAGTAGAATAATGATTCCTCATAAGAATTAGTTCAAAATTTGTACTTATAAGATGAAGGCAGCATCATGGTATAGCTTCAGGAAGTCTTAAACTTTTTGGTGTTATATATCATTTGGCAGTCTGGATTCCTTCTCAGAATAAAGGTTTCCAATGCATAAAATAATATACAAAGAATCCTAAAGGAAACTGATTATATTAAAGCACAAACAACAACAACAACAAAAAAAACCAAACCTGTTGCCGTTCAGTCATTCCAACTCACAGCGACCCTGCAGAGAAGAACTGCCCCATAGGGTTTCCAAGGAGTGGCTGGTGGATTCAAACTGCTGATCTTTTGGTTAGCAGCCACGTTCTTAACCACTGCACCACCAGGGCTCCATATTAAAGCAGTTGCCAAAAATTTTTAAAAAAACAGCTGGTAATATAGTAATATATGAATTCTTTATTAACACATTAAATAGCAAAATCTATTAGTGGATCCAATAACCTCTGACGTTTCTAAGTAGCGGTGGGAGTAGAATATACTTAACAAGATCTGCAACAAGAGAAATATGACATGAGAATGTCTGTCACTTTTATTGGTGACAGAGTCACAGCTACTGTTAATACTATTGTGGCTTGTTACCTGCATTCATAATGGGAGGAAATGCTACATTTTAGTTTGAGGTTAATGGAAATAATGATGCAATCTTTTTTTGAAGCAAGTTTGGGTACCCTAGTGTACACTGGTGTAGAAGAGGAGCCCTGGTGGCGCAGTGGTTAAGAGATCGGCTGCTAACCAAAAGATCAGCAGTTCGAATCCACCAGATGCTTGCTGGAAACCCTATGGGGCAATCTATTCTGTCCTATAGGGTCACTATGAGTCGGAATTGACTTGATGGCAATGGGTGGTGGTGTGGTGAAGTAGAAAGAGGAAGGGCTTTGAATTTGAGATACTCAACTCTGATAATTTCATGGTATACGGCCTTTGGTGAAGCCCTAGTGGCACAGTGGTTAAGAGCTCAGCTACTAACCAAAAGGTCAGCAGTTCAATCCACCCACTGCTCCTTGGAAACCCTATGGGGGCAGTTCTACTCTGTCCTGTAGGGTTGCTATGAGTCAGAATCGACTTGATGGCAATGGGTTGGGTTGGGTTTGGTTATGGCCTTTGGTAAATTTCTTAATCTATCTATACCACACCAAAACCTATTGCTGTCGAGTTGATTCCAAATCAAAGTGACCCTGTAGGACAGATCAGAATTGCCCCATAGGGTTTCCAAGGAGTGGCTGGTGGATAATTGTAGAATTGCATAGGGCTATCTGTAAAGATTAAAGATACCATATATTAAGCTCTGAGAATACAAAAAGCATTTGATAAATGGTAGATATTATTTTTTCACATAAACATATAGTAGCAGAATATTTGTAAAACAGAGAAAACCATTCCACCAGACTTTAAAAGAAACTCACTGTTAAGTTTTTTCTTCTTCTGACTTTTTGTCCCTAAACTTTGATTTATTTATTACATTGTAATTATAGTGTATGTACAATTTGGCATTCTGAATTTTTTTCACCTAAAATAATAATATGATAAAAATTTTATGTGCTTTTCAAAAGAATTTATAAATGATATGTAGCAATTTACAATAGTACTGAGAAGGGATGAGAGTTGCAGTTTTATTGCTTTCTGACCTGCATTGTGTTATCGTTTCTGAAAAATGTTGTTGACACAAAAAGTAAAAATGATTGTTTCAAAAATCTTCCCAACAGTGCAAAAATCAAACTGACAAATTCACTTTTCTAAAAAATTCTCATCAAAATGGAAATCAGAATGGCAATTACAGAAATTTAAAAAACAAAACACAGAGAACATTATATATAAAAATTTAATTGGTTATGGTCAAAATTGAACTGGAGGAAATTAATAGAGATATGAGTTTTTGTTAATAATCATACTGATGATGATGATTATGAAAATGATAATAAAGAAAAAAATGGAAGATATTCTAGTTAAGCACATTTACAAACAATAGAAAATAACAAAATAAAGGAAAGTAACAGTGGAAAATAAAAATAAGTGCAGAAAATAATAAATTAGGAAGTAAAAGAGAAAAAATGAATGCAAAATATAATCAAGAGCCAATTCTTTATAGAACAATAGTATTAGAGCTTTACGTCAAAAATTTGAAAACCTATAAGAACTAGAGGCTTTTATAGGAATATATTCACTACCGAAATTAATGTAAGAAGTCGTAGAAAACCTGAATAACTGAAGAGTCATGGAAGAAACTTAAAAAGTTGTCAAATATTTCTCTACAGCTATAAATTCCAACTGTATGTTAAAAGAGCAATGCGTGATGATCAAGCAATGTTTATTGCAGGGACGTACCTACTGTTGACATTACTGTTTGAGAAGCTGCCAAAATTAGGGAAGCCTCTTCTTTTTGGGCCATGCCCTACATTACAATGAAGTGGAAATTTCAGTACCTAAGCAATTAAATGCAATTGCCAAATAATATTCATATATCAAGTGCACATTTTCATTCCTCTACCTAGAAGTGAAATTTCAGTTGTCTGAAATCCTTGGTACCCCAGAAACTTATAACCAAGACTTTGTAAGCTAGAACTGGCCTTGCAGAAAAAGAGAGGGTGCTCTGGGCCAAGATGGAGGAGTAGTCAGATGCCTCCGGTGGTCCCTCTTACAACAAAGACCCAAAAAAACAAGTGAATTGATTATATATGACAATCTAGGAGCCCTGAACATGAAAGGCAAAGTTGAGGAATCGGACTGAGTAGCACGGGGAGGGAGAGATGGTTCGGAAGCAGCGAGGAGTTGCCAGACCCGACCCGGTAGGAGCTGGAGCCCTTCGGCTCAGATTAGCTTGGGGGTGAGAGATGAGGCAGGCAAGCGGCAGTGCTTGGGAGGTGTTTTCCACACTGGGAGAAACCCAGCGGCATACAGTCTATTCGGCC